GGGGCAGTCCTGGGTGATAGTTTTCCACAAGCAGATATCAGTGCTGCTTTTTTTTCAAGTTGGCCTAGAGGATGTCCTTGAAGCACTTTCTCTGCCTTCCTCTTGAACATATGTCTTGACTGAGCTGGGTGAATAAAACCTGCTTTGGGAGTCTGGAGTGAGACATCCCAATGATGTGACTAGCTCAGCAAACTTGATGTCAGATGGTCATCCCTCAGTGCTTGTGGTGTTTGCTTACTTGATTTTCTATGCTTATCACATCAAAGTGCATCTCTTTTCCTCTGCTTCCTCACTTTTCTCAGGACAGTGACTACACACAAGCCTGCCCTTGCTTCACTTAATCACATGGATGCCAGATAGTTCTTGCAGCTAGAGTACATCTACTTTACCCTTGTCAGGGATGTTCTGACATACACAGTAGGATGGCCTCCAGAAGATCCTTATTTTACTATTGTGTTTGTCATTTGTGCCAGTAGTATTCTGTTCAGTTCTTCACCTTTCCATGAAGTTGGCTTACTTGGTGACAATCTTATCAGCTGGACAAGTCAGAGAGAATCGAGTCCTATTGTTGGAGCCACTATATGTGACCTTCTAGAGAGACAAGGTGGTACTACATACTCACCCTAAGTTCCTGCTGAATAATCTCTGAATCCCATTTTAGTCGAGAAATTTCCTTGCCAATCTTCTTTCTAAGACCATATGTTTTCCATATTAAGGCTACTTTCCCTCTTTCGGCGTGGCACCACCTGGTCCACCCAGGTGCGCACCACTTTGAGGCCCAATGACTTGATACCAGGGCGGAATGGCGTCAGCAGAGGAAGCAGAAGGAGACCAAACCGGAATTGCAAATCCCACTTCCCCGCGCAAAAACTTGCCCTCGTTACCAAAGAATGCGTGCATTCAGAATCGGGCTCCTCAGTCATCAAGCCTGACAGACATCATCCTTGACTTTGAGGGACTGTGGCGGCTACTGCCTTCCCTTATCCTGTATGTGAAGAGAGGCCTAGCCTATTACTTGTATGTAATCATACAACTTTTCAGGAGGTCTTCACACTTATTTGGAGCCATAATTTAGAAATATGAGGGTTTGTCTGCTTCATCCTAAAGACTTTTCACCATGATCTCCAGATGTCTGACTCCACTATAAAATGACCAAGGTAGACTCATCCCCTGTGATTTGAGCTGATTTGACTGGGGCCCAGGTCACCTCTGTTGCCTCTCTGCATGCTGTAGTTGTGCCCTCAGGTGACTGTTACACTGTTTCATTCAAACTATGGTAACCATTGTGCAAGTGTGAAGGCAATTAGGAGTGACACCACCTTTGATTTTTTGCCTGTAGGAGTCTTGTATCCCATGTCCAGGTATTTGTAGGCATTGCTTTGGAGTCACCCACATGTGAGAACGTGAGCAGCAGCTCAAAGGAGAAAAGCAAATTATTTACCTGTAAATGAAGTTTGACAGGTGTTCTCTACCACACATTTGAATCTGCCTTCCTTTCCCTCTTCCTCAAAATTGAAGTTGAGAGGAAACTGAGGAGAAGGGGTGCTTTAGCCCCTTGTTGTGGGGAGGCAAACAAGGGGCTGGAGGATATATTATAAATAATGCTAAGGTAAAATTCTCTGGTCAGAGACTCAAGGACCTGAGCTTACTCCATGAAAATGTGTGTTTTATGGAGAAGGCATGTCAAAGAACACCAATTACTGGTATGTAGCTTATTTTTTCTCATATCAAATTAATAGATGAATTTTGTTGTGAATGCTAACATATAAGTGCTTCTAATTTTTTATCTGTATTACTGTTTGTGGTTGCATAATTCCTAATGCTCTTAACAAGCCTATATTTGGAGACAGACTTTTTTTTCTTGAAAACAAATGTTATTCCATGTTCTGTAAATTAAAAGTAGAATTGTTTGTTTAAAAATAAGATATCTAATATTATAATTGTTTGTGCAGTAAGAAGCAGTACGGAATAACAAAAGGTAAATGTATGTAGTGCTGGTACATGATAAATTACATTCATATTTTCTCCTTAGAAGTTACAGTAGAGTTTGTGTAAACTGAAGCTTCAGTATTATGAGTCTTACAAAGGAACATAATTTTGAGCAAATGCTTTGAATTTTTATATTTGTAAAAGCAGTTTATTCTTTTTTTCATGTTAAATGCTACAGTTCATAACTCTGCTTACTTTTCACTTTGTATTCAGTATGGAGAGTTAATCCCAGAGCAGGGCTTTTCTGATGCAAAATCTGAATGCTTGTGTAGTCATAACAGCTGTCCCCTCACCATGTGGCATCTTCCATTACTTTACTGTAGAGATTAATTTTGGCCCAATATTTCAGTAATATTGGACACACATGGTTTTAAGTGACAAAGCAGTATGCTTATGCATTCATTTGACTCTCACAGTTACAGTTGGCTCCAGATTAGAACAGGGAGAATACATTCACACCATGACCACCCTCATGGCTGCTTGTAGTAGTTGGAACACAGTAGGCGCTGTTGCATCTAAAGATACAATTTAACTATTGCTAAGGAATTGCAAATTCACCAGAACTCTCTGCAGCTATAGTGGTTAGCAATAGATTTCTAAAATAGCTCCACCAAAGAACTTCTGACCTATCAAAATTTAGTTCTTTATTTTTTAATTTATTTTAATTTACCATATTATTTAAATAATGTAATTAAATATTCTGGTGACACAGCTACACATAGGGTTATGTGTTGTTCAATTTAAGGACAGTAGGTTTTTATTAGAATTTCTGTAAATCCTGATAGCTTTCAAATAAGAAGAGTTAACATTATAGCTTGAATTTTGTAATACATGCAGGATTTCAAATACGCAGCATATCTAAGGATATAAACTTAAAAACATCCTTTTTAAAAAGATTTAAAAGATGCAAGAAGTTTGTTACTTCTGAAATGCTTGTATCAGTGCAGAGGCATGAGTGACTTTTTGTGTTAAACTTTGGAAACATTACATTTATGCTCCGAATCGTATATTAAGATATGTACTACAGTTTCTTTTTGTCTTGCAAGCATTAATATTTAAATTAAATATAAAACAACTTCCATATGTTACTGAAATTAAATTGCACATATACTAAGGCTTTCATTCAGTGTGTGAATTTTTATAACTTCTATGAAATGTTTTGGTAAGAACTTAATTTTTTTATACTTCTCTACTTAGCCTGTTTATTTGAAGAAAAACAAAAAACCCAACCTCTCATATATAATGATGGTATTAGCTCCAAAATTAGAATGTTAATAAGTATCCCCATCTCAGTTATGGAAATATGTCAAGAAAGACCTTTTAATATAGAGCAGTGTGTGTGTAGTTATTGTTTACAATAATAAAATAAGGTTACTGTGTGATGCTGGGAAACGTTATGTTTTTAGCATTTCTTTATGTGGGCCACCAACATACTTATACTATACAAGTAATAAAGCCACATGCAAGCACACTGCTCTTTCTTTTATTTAACTTTCATAAGTTATTAATTCATGCTTGTGTGAAGGCTATATAAATATGAATATTTGAGCTTGCAGCATTTAATGAACAGAATTACATGGCTATAAAATAGAATGATTGATAAAACTGTCTTTACTATTGGCTATTATTTACTGTCCCTTAAGTGGCAGGTTGTATTTATGCCAATTTATCTGCTTCAGGGAACATTCTTGATAGCAGAACAAAGTGAATAAAAGTAGTTTGCTTTGCAAATGAATGCAAATAGTAGAGCCTTTCGGGAAGCTCTTTAACAGGAGCACTGCACTTTGATTATGAGTGAAGCTGCCATTTGGACATGGTGAAAAGAGCACGCTTGAACCATTGATTGGGGGAGACAGTAAAAAGTCAGGAAGGGCCCCGTTAAGCTTGCAGTGCAGCAGGCGGATGTCAGTGTGGTTAGAGCACAGTGGGAGAATGACAGGCAGGATTAGTGTCAGGGAGAAGCTTTGCTGTAGCTCTGGAGATGGTCCCTGGGGTCACTCACCTCTGACTGTTGTTCTGTGCTGATGGCTCTGTAATGCAAACTTCTTGATGTATGCCTGTTCATTATCGGAAATGGTGATTAGGAGAGGTATTTGTCAAAAAGGATTCTTTAAAATAAAATAGAAATGATAAACTACTGATTATTACAAAAGCCCAGTTCTGTAGTTGTTACTTTAACTGTATTGCAGACTGATGCAGCATCTTTTTCTTTCCTAAGAGACATCTCAACATACAGAGTTTGAATAGCTTAGAATGTTACAATTATAGCTGAGGAACAGTGGTTTTGTGCTTTGCTCAATTCAATTTGGTTGTAATAAAGAAGGAAATTGTTTACAGTTTGCCTTACGCTGTTTGAGTCAAACACTGCTTTACACTTTGGTTATTGGGCCTTGTTGCTCTTTGACAATCTCCAGTTTCTTTGCCGCCTTGGAAGGTATTGGCTTTGGTTGCTGTTTTAAAAAACATTATATTAATACCTCAGTGAAATACAGAATCAGCACATTCTGTTCTTGGATCGTTCAGTATATTAAAAGATGCATACATTATTTTGGCTTTGACAAAATGACTGAATTGGGCATACTGCTGTAAAATATACATTCATAAATAAAGTTCAGGAATATTGTAATTTATTTTAATTAAAAGGACTTTTTCTTAATTTTTTTCTTCCCTTACAAATCATTTGCACTCGAGCAGAATTTCAGCATTATCTAAAACGTTATTTTAAACTGATTTGATATTTAAATATGTGTCGTTTATTGTACATGTGGTTACACAGGCATCTGTATATTAAGATTTTTAATATTTCACTGACTGTTCTTTTTATGTTTATCCTCTGACATAATGGAGAGAGACAGTGCTAGATAAGGATTCATAACACTATTATGTTGCATTGTTTGTTATTATCTTCATTATTTGATTAATGTATTTTAAATTTTTTGTTCTATATTTTATCCAATTGATTTTTTTTTCCTATTTCCTAACAAAATAAATATTTTACAAATGTTTTACAGGCCCCTGAATGGACAGAAGAGGACCTTAGCCAGCTGACAAGAAGTATGGTTAAGTTCCCAGGGGGGACCCCAGGTCGATGGGAAAAGATTGCTCACGAATTAGGTCGATCAGTGGCAGATGTGAGTTCGCTCAGATTTGCATTGTATGGAGAATGACAAACCAGAACAAGGCAGGCAGTGTAGAAGGCCTGCATAGATGGGGTCCAACATTGTCTTTTGAGAGAAGCTACAATCCTTTTAGGACCTGGAAGTGAACCATTAACTGACTAAGCAAGAAGCAGATGTCAGCCAGTCCCTCGCTCCACAATTAACAGCTGTAACTGATCAGCTGTATGGGGGATTCTGGTGCTTAGAGACCTGAGCTACTGTAACTTGATAACAGGAAAACAATGCCAGTTTTAGTGCTTGTAGTAACTCCTTTTAACTGCAAAATAACATTTGTGAGACTTAGTTAAAGATTACATTTCTGTTTAAGCCAGGTCTTAAAAAAATTAGTACAACTCAGCTAATAGTGTTTAGACAGGTGGCTTCCATTCATTAAACTGAAATATTTCTCCAGGAGTATAAAACAAGTGTTATGAGAATGATATTACTGTTGTCCATTTTTCTAGATTATACTATAAGGTACTATGTGAAATGGTACTGTGTAGAATGATTAATATCCTTCTTGAAATATATATTTTTATAGCAATGTGCCATATATCAAACAAAGTTTGTACTAAGGATTTAAAGTGTTATGATCCTGAAAACCCCAGGGACTAGGCTGTAAAATAATTTTCCTTTTCAAGCAGTAGATCACTAGGACCAGCCCTTTCAATTGACCCTATTCCAAAGGCTCTGGAGGGGTTAATGAGTATAAGGTAAAAATGTTTAATTCTGTTGATGCTCCTTTTGAGGCCTGATGTCTTAAATTTATTAATGAAAAACTAGCAGAGAGAATTCCTGAAAAGAAAACTTCTGTTTTAATCACAAAGTCGTGCCTTGTCCTATAGATTACAGTGCATTATCTTTTTATCAATTTATACATTGTTTGGACACAGACATGAAAAGGTAGTTGTTCTTAATTTCATTATTCTATATAATATTGTTGTTTTAATGTGCTTTTTGGAAACAGAGCACATTCATGCCTATCCTGATGTCATTAACAAGTGAGCAGCGGATTGGGTTAGGGAAAGGAATCAGAGCGGCTCTTGGGGAGGGCATGAGCTTAATTTTTGGCATGCCTGTCAAAAAGGTTGGCCCCCATGGTCTTACAGTATGCTTTTTTTTCGGAACATTTTCTCCTATTGCTGCTGCCTGTGCACCTCCAGTAAGGTAGGCAGGTCAGCAGTGGTTGGTATTACCTATGTCACTGTATTGCACAGTTTTTCTCTTAACAGTGTTCAGTAGGATGGTGCTTAAAGTGACAGCAGCTGTCTGAACATCTCCCTACACCTGCTCCCTCACAGATGCTTCCACTGTTGTTTCATTGGTGTGAGAAACACTGAAGTTAGAGATTGCCATAGATGCAGCTATCAACTGTGAATTTTAGGACCTGGCCATGACATACATGTTATCCCTTTAAACTTGTCAAAAATGACATGGAATCTTAATTTATAGCCTAGCCTAACATTAGCCAGGCCAGAGAGACGTTGACTTTGTCCAGTCTAAAAATGGAACAGAACTCTTAATTTGACCTTCAATGGAAGGTAGGTGGAAACTACAAACTGCTTGTTTTAGGCAATTGATTGCTTTTTTATAGAATAAAGAAGCTTAAAAGTTTTTACAATAAATTTTGCTTACACTTTCCTTAGAAATATCAAGAATAGCAAATTTTAGTTTTCTTTGCATAGACAAAACCATTGTTTTAGGACTTACAAATTAGAGAGCATTTGAACAAAAGGGCATGTCGCTTGCATGTATTGAGCAGCACTTAGCTAAATAGGTATTTACAAAGGTCATATTTTGATGTAGAAAAAGTGAAATTATTCCCTCCTTTCAGTTGCTTAGTTTTTTAATATCTTGTGATATCATAATGACAGTAGCTTTCGTCAGTCAGCTCAGGTCCTTCAGCAAAAAATGAGCAGAAAGAAATAACTTAATTTCCCTAATGTTGCTTTTAAAAAAAAGAAAAGCAAAGCCAAAGAATAAGGACCAACAGCAACAACGACCAGCAGAATTTCCTTCTCAATATACTTTTGCAGGTCATCTTAAGCTTCTTCCTGTTGTTGTTAGTGATTTGCGATGCCAAATTGTTCTGAGGTCATGTTTTCTACTGCAGTTCTTAAGCAGAATTAAGTGATTTAAGGAGTATGTTCCTGGGTTTCGTCAGCTTGTCAGATCCTTAGTGTTATTTTAAGTTAGTCTTTTGTGTTTTCGTGTGTTTACTTTTGTATGTTGTTTTTTTTAATTTCCACCCTGACACAGTATGTCACGTAAGATGCTCTGTGACATTTTTTAAAGGTGACATGTTTTGTTTTTTTAATTGGACTTTTTAATGAAAAATGATATTCTGAAAAGTTTGCTTTTAACCTCTCTTGACCCCAAAAAGGAGAGAAAAAGAAAGACTTTCCTGCTTAGATAAACCTGAAATATAAAGTCAATTTTTCCTTGTTTGTACTAGAGGAAACCTTTGATATATCAGAGGACAATGAAAATATGTATTGTGAACTCTCTCAGTGAAATAAGTAGGCAAAGATATTGAATCTTCTTAACAGAGACAACATATCTCCAAATGTTAGGCATAAAAACTAAATAGTAGATGTGCACCTATACATCGGTCTGATACTGGATTGGTACCGATATAAAGAAAATTTGTTATATTGGAAATCAGTGCAATGGGGTTGATAGTTTGGCCGATAAATGCCCATGCTGTGTGCAGCATGCAGGCAGTGAGGAGCAGAGCTTGGCAGCGTGGAGAGCTGCCTCCAGCTGGTCAATCTGTTGTGGTGAAAAGGGAGTGGGGAGGGAAGGGGTGTGGAGGAGCAGATCAACACCCTCCATGGTGAGGGAGGGGGCAGAGGGTGCCCAGCTGGGGCAGGATAAAACTGAGGCTTGTTGGGGGGAGTGGCTCCTGCGTTGCTTGCACTGGAAGGGTAAGGGGGGCACATGTTCCACCCGGATCTGCATGGGGCTGATACGCCTTCTTAAATATCAGCTATTGGTATCGGCCCCAAAAAAATCTCTATCTGTGCACCCCTACTAAATAGACATCAATAAAAACAAACACTAGGGGTGCCTGTACACATGCTCCAACATGTTGGAGCAGACTTGATTTAATTGAGATGGTAATTACTGCGCTCCAGCAGACAACAGTGTCACATGTATCAGCATCCCTGTGCTGAAAAATGGCAGCAGGGACATTTTAACTAAAGCTTGTGTCTCTCCCCCTTGTCCCGGAGCATGTGTATAAATGTCCTATATCAGTTATCTGTCTAGAAAACCCTTTGCTTTTCAGTTGTTCAGCTTTTACTCATGCACACTAATAATGTTGTCATAGGCTTCTCGTTGTCAAAACAGGTCTGTGTTTATTGTAGGATAACTAACACGTGAAAAATTCTAGTGGAGACAAGGTATGCTGGTTTTTAGCTTAGGGTATCAAGGTCAGGTCAGAATTCTGCCTACAGTTCACCTCACCTACCACTTCACAGTTAAAACTAACAGTACCCTTTCTTGACTACAGTTTAATGGAGGATAGTGTGTGTGTGCTAGTTTCTCACTATTAAACAAACAAGTAAACAAACTTTTTGCAGTGCTTCAGTTTTCCTGGGTAGATGCACTTACATTTTTAAGGTAAGCACCAATAGAAAACAGCATTTTTCTTTTAATCAAAAAGCATTTTAAAAAATAAAACAAACTTTTCCAAGCTACCTTACCACATTTAAAGGTGGGGGGAAGAGGCATGCAAAATGTTTTTCTTTCCTTTGCAGTTACCTTTTGACTTATTTATGCATACAGGGTTTTCTGTTTCATGCTGAAATATTTAAAGAAAATGTCCTTCTAGAAATTTTCATTTATAGTAGCATTGTCTACTGAAGAAATCTAAGGATAATTACTCCTAGACCAGTGTTAATGGATTTGGAAAAGCAATTCATGCACAGAAATGTTGGTTGTGACTTGTAAATTCCTTGTGTTGTCGGATTCCACTTTTAGAAATGTCCTGAGGCTGGGGGAGTCCTCGCCCAGCAGCTAAGAGCTGGCATAAGCAGTGAGATGCAGCCTCCCTGTTCCATGTTTGGCCGAATAGAAAACAAAGGAAGTTCTAGGAATAGGAGGCCATAAGAAAGCAGAGTAATCCTAAATTGCTCAGTCACTTGAACTCTGTGCTATGGAATATGTGGTATAGTAGCAGTGTGGGGGAACCTCTTTCCAAAGTAGCTTGTGTGCCTTTTTATCTTTTTTGGATAATAGTTTGGGTTCAGTCACCACACACACAATTCTGGTTTAACAAACTCAAGTAATCAGTCAGATTGTTCCCACAAGCAGTATCCTGATTCCATAGTTATAAGATCCTTCTAATCAGGTACTTTACTTGGGTATTTGTAGTCTTACCTGGAGAGAGACTTACAGTTCCATCTCTTTAAAGGCCAGAAACTCCATAGCAGTTGTGCCGAGCTGTTTATGGGCCAAAACTTTAATAACCTTCTTAGAGAATGTACTTTCACCTTAGTTTTGACCCTCTGTTTATTTCTCTAAGACAGGAAGTGTAACCAGATAAAGTTTCCACGCTGTACTGTGCAGGATTATCGCATGTTTTGTATCTATCAAACATCCCATCTCCTGCAGTCTGGCTTTACCGGTTGGTCAGGTAACAGTAACAGGACATGAACCTTAGTCTAAGATTTCTTGCTATACTTTGCTTTTCTTTTCTTATGGTCTCCTGACAGGATTTCATTACTTTCATCCTGTCTGTTTCCCTGAGACACTGCAAACTACATTATGTCTTTGTAGGAGTTAAGATTCAATTGCCCCTATGACTCCACAGTAATTGCCTTATACATTTTAAATAGGCGACATTGGATGACTCGGCAGACTCTGGTGTCCCCTAGGCAGGCAGGCTGGGGTCCCCTGTTACAGTTCATTATCCTTTTACAAGGAGGAAGACAGCCTGCTGAGAGAGGCAAACGCCCCCAAACCTACAA